CCTCCTATGGGACCTGAAGGTAGGGTTAGGTGTTCTTGCAACTCACTGTCATTTCCAAACAATTCTTTCTCCCTCCTCAACAAACAAATACCAGCATTGAACTGCATGCCATGATCGTCTCCCTCCTTTTCCAGTTGTATTTATCTATTGTTCCCAAGTCAGCCCCCTCACTCCTTAAAGATAACAATTTCTGGATCACTGTCATTCTCTGCAACGCCATTCCTGAAATGCTTGTTTATTTCAAAATCTTCTTGTATCACAGGTTCTTAAAATATTATGTGCATATGCATATGCCCTGAATCCCTTTGGAAGTCTAAGGGTGAAACCTAAGGAGTCCTCCTCAGAATATTTTAAATGCAGAAAAAATATACAGGATTATAAATAAAATCAATTTAGTAAAATATAGTTATGAAAATATTTTAAAAATACAATACATATAATCTTTGTAACACTTTAAGATCTTCAGTGGCTCTAATAACTACCATAATTACACAATAATGATGAGTAAAAACATTTTTAAGAACATGCAAAAACTGTAATAATATGAAAATATCTATGGTTTCTATAGAGACAAAGTCACAGGTACTGCTATCAACATAGTGGTTTGTTACCTATATTTAAAATTGAGAGAAATGTTAACTTTCAGTTAAGAATTAATAAAGATAAAGATGTGCTATTTGCACATTTCAGTTCACAATCCCCCCTGAATCCCATCCATGAACCTAGTTTAGGAAACTAATGACATAGATGGTCTCTTCATTCCCTGTCCTCTCAATTCCTTGACCTCCTCTCCTTCAAATATCTTGTCCCTCACCTTATCTTCAACACCAAGCCCATGGTCAAACTCTAGACTTTAGCATTATCAATATTTGGAGTCTTCTCTAATCTCGATTTCAAGTATCCCCTTCTTCTATCTTTCTAATACTCTCTCTCTAATACCCAACTCCAAGGGATAGTCCTTTTATCCCCATGAGGTCCCATAATCCATTGATCCTGTCACCTTTTCACCATCTTTTACTGACCTCATGTTCTCACTTCCCTCATAATCAAGCTTCAATTCCACCTTCAATTTCCTTACCCCTTTCTTACTTCATGGAATCCAGCTGGCTAAACCACAACCTTGATTAGATTCAACTTTGCTGGGCCTGTACCTTTGCAGCTGCATTTAGCCAGAGAAAAATACACCAAAATGCTGACTGGTCTCATTTGAAATTCATGAATAATTTAAACTGTAACTTTAATGCTTCACAGAAATTATACATTTATTAAGTTCATTCAGTACCCCATTCTTCTGGATAACTATTACATGTCTTCTCATCTCTACTTAATCCTCTGTCCCCTCCAATAGACACTGCACAACCTCCTACAAATTTTTATAACCACAAGTACCCACCTACCTCCATCGTATGTCCATATTACCTATTTTTTCCTCTTTTTTTTTTTTTTTTTTTTTTTGAGACGGAGTCTCACTCTGTCACACAGGCTGGGGTGCAGTGGCACAATCTTGGCTCACTGAAACCTCCACTTTCTGGGTTCAAGCGATTCTTCTGCCTCAGACTTCTGAGTAGTTGAGATTATAGGCATATGCCATCATGCCCGATTAATTTTTATATTTTTAGTACAGATGGGGGTTTCACCATCTTGGCCAGGCTGATCTTGAACTCCTGAGCTTGTGATCCACCCACCTCAGCCTCCCAAAGTGCTGGGATTACAGGCATGAGCCACCGCGCCCAGCCTTTTTTCCTCTTATTATGGATGAA